AATGGCTATACCCTATGCAGTACTGATATTATCTGGCAAAATGCCATACATTATAGCATTAGATCACAGATCGTATAGCTTCTGTACTGTCTATGTTCAGCTATATAAAGACATCTCAAATCTATAATGGGTGTATTTTTCTTTGTCATGTGTATTGTAAACATACTCAAATACCATACACAACACCTACTTGTATTATAGATTTTTTTTTGGCTTTCTGCATCTGTACTGCTTCATCTAAAAAAAGAACTTTTAAAAGGAAAGAAAAACTATTCTGTATAACACAACTGGCTGTAAGAAAATTGTCATCACCAGTCAAAATATGTCAGCGTCCATTTATGTGACCACGCCCTTTATTTTGCTGGCGTGGTATTATGCCAAATCAAAGAAGTATTGTTGAAGCTTTGATGCAGGCGTATGTTATAGAGTGATTCTTGTCAGATTCTTAGGTTAATGTAACAAGTTGAAGACATTGCCTGTATATTTGTTGTAATAATGTTTATATGTTTTTGTGTTTGTTTATGCTAGTATACACAATAGTTTTGTTGTTATCTATCACTGTGTATTGCCTTACATTTGTGCTGTTGATTTTGACGGTTTACAAAAGTTTGAACACAATGCTATTTAAAAGTACCCTGCGTGTCATCCGCTATACAGCTGGAGTGTGGATTATGAATTGCCGCTGTTTGCAGGGTGTGTGTGCTATTTGGGACTCTGTCCAAGAACCTGACAAACTGACCACGCTAGAGTTGATCTACGAGTGAATCGAGTCACTGTATTCAAATAAAGTCACCCGTAGCAACGCATTACAGGTCGAAGGTCAAGTAAATGTCATGTAAATTTCCATTGCGATATCAAAGTGCGCATTCTCAGCTCACCAGTGTATTGTTTGCAGTGCAGTGCAGTAGTACAAAGTTATTACACATACAGCCATGAGTGCATCTACGGCTTTCTCGCTGGATGCATTATTTAGCTACAAAGCATGTCCTATGTGCGATTATCTTACAGAGACGTCCGCGCAGCTTAGACGAAGAATCAACCAATTAGAAAGAGACAAAGTTGAACTGACGAGCACGAGTAATGATGAAGTAAGTATATCCATGTTATCTACTAGAGTCACATTGGTTTTATCTTAATCTTTCAGTTTACATCTTTTATGACCATCGCTGGTAAATATCTATCATAAAAGCTGATTTTTATAAGAATAAATGTATTTTGGCTTTTGTTTTGAATCTTATAACAACTATCAAATAAAAGTTTAGAATGGAAATTTTTTTTATATGCATTTTGGCTTTTAATAAAGTTGGAATTTCAATTAGACTAATTTCCTCAGACTCAAGTACTTGATGCATGGTTCCTAAAACTCCATTGCATTTTTGTCTCGATGTTTTGCAGCAGTGGGGGAGTCACCTCACAAATAAATATAACTTCTTGATCTAGCACCATTTGCTTTCTTGAAACAGACACTCTTAAAAATACATACACC